TAGTTAAGAATAAGTAATAATTGAATCTGGACCCGTAGCAAATAATGTTTCACAGCCAAAGAAATGCAAATAGCCAATAAACATTAAAAAGGTTTAGCCTCTCTGATGATCAAAGGAATTTATAGTAATAGTATGAGACATTATTTTAGACTTTAAAAAAATTATTATATACAATGATAATGGAGGGAGGCTGAAATAATCTCTTCATACAATGTTGGTGGTAGTACACATTAGTAAATATTTCTAGAGAGCAATTTGGCATTATGCAAGAGCCTTAAACCTATGCTTGTACTTTGACCAATATATTCTATTTCCAGAACCATCCTGAGGATATAACTATAGATGTGGCAAGGGTACTGATTCAAGTTTTATTTTGGTGGTATATATCACTTAGGCTCTTTTACTTTACAAGCAAGTGTTGTAAGTGCACCTTCAGATGTTAGAGGTTTGTTGTAAAACTACAAGGCTAAGTAAGAAAAACAGAAGCGCTAGCTCAGACAGATTTACAATTTAAAATCAAGGGTGAGGGAGGAGGTCATTCAGGATATGTTGAAGTTCCTCCAAGAGCATTATTGGTCCCATCTTTAGCAACATGTGCTCTTTGCTCTTTCCTCTCACAAGCTAATGAAACCAGAAAAGTCAGTGTTCATGCCACCTATCACTACCAAAACCAATAAGCAGAGACAAAGTTTGAATTTTTATGGGTGCTTTATTCAGATTGCAGGTGATATGAGAAGATGGCTGGTTATGTACCCCGACAGACGGCCTTACATTTCCTTTCAATTCAGCCTTTTTTTTATAAGGAGAAAAAAAATGTAGGTAAGGGGTTTGGAATACAAGGGAAAAAAGTGTAGATAAGGGATTTTAAATTCCAGAAAGAGATTAGTCAGATAAAAGATGCTGTCTGGCAATTTTCCTAATATACTTTTATCCATTGACCTGTGATTTTTTTTTACCTGGGTCCTGTGTCATTGGTGATTTTCTTTATCTGCATCTTGAGTGGTGTGATGTCTCTCCCTGGAACACAGTGGCTCAGATACCAGCTTGATTGTTTATGGTCCCTTCTGGAGCACAGAGGTTGACTTACTTGTGGTCTCTTGGGGGCAGGGTGGGACGTACTTTCAGTTCTGAAACAACAGCTTTTTACGTGCATTAACTTCTAAGTTTATTGATGATTACCTAAAATTAAAATTTTCTAACCCTTGAGTTCCTCCTTTACTAATACTTTGGTTAAGTTGCTCTGTCTTTGTTTATTGATGCTTCTGACTCCTGCCTGAATCTTTTTCATACTACCTTATGACTGCTGCTCCTGGATAAAGCATATTGCTTTCTCTCTATATTTTGGTTTCTGCCTTCACAAGGAAACTCAGACCTCTTTAAATGTCTTTTATATACAGTCTCAAAAAATAAAAATAAAAAAAGGAAGGGTTTCTCCCAGAAACCTTATTAACCATTGTCCTGTCCATAGGTTTGTTGTTCTATTGTTCAGTACCCAATATTGCTCCAAGCAGACCTCACATTCAGAGAGGGCCACATGGTTCGGTTTCTGAAGAATGGATTGTGAGTGTGCCTGACACTTGGAAGAAAACATATTCCTACCCAAATTATAGTATTATTGGTAAAAGCCTAAATGGAAAACAAGTTAGTTATACAAAAATAGGAGAATTGGCGCATATATTACATGTATAAATGATAATGTTATCAACTGTTAAATGTTTTGATGACATTGTGATTAAGAAAACTTAAAATGAAAAAATATTTAATACAGTATATACTAAGTAACGTCAGTTTGAGAAAAAATATATGCACAGAATAAAATATTGGGAGAACATACACTAGACTGTTGAGCAATTACCAAATAGTGAAATATGGTGATCTGTATTTTTCCTCTTTATATGCTTTGTTTCCAATATCTTCATAGTCTATTTTATTTTTATAATAATGTTGCTTCTTAATAAAATAAAAGAGGCTTATTTGAAGAATGAAAAATTTTAAATCAAATGATAGAAATGTTATGGTATTGCACATGAGACATTTTCCTGTTATGCTTATGTTCTTGCAGGAAGAAGCTGAAGGTCATTAACTTACCTAGCAGAGTATACCCCTCAGGGAAAGGACTGTACGTTGAGTTCTTCTATGTTACTGCATGGTTCTTTTCTCTAAAATGTTACAAGGAACTTGTTTTTCATTTCTCATATATTCCCAGACAAGCCTCCTTATCATTTCCAACCAAATATCAGTGAATAACTATAGTGATAGCAAATGTTTATATATTTGTCCTTTAGAGAAGAAGTACATTTGTCATTTTTCGCAAATCTCCTCAGTACTTTTTAATAGGGTAAAAAATAAGCAACAAAATAAATACAAAGCCAGCAACATGTCCAGGTGACTCACATTTAAAGATCAAAAGGAAAAAAAACTCCCAAACCATTCACTCATTTATGTATATCTGACACATCTCCCTGGGTAGATGGTGAGCTTCTGGACCTAAGAGCAGCATGTGACTCTTTTTTTTTTGGCTTTTTTTGTAGCATAAGAAACCTTTAATTTGAATGTTCAAAAATTTCTATCTCACATTCCTTTATAACCATGTTCATATCCTGAGAATATATTAATATGCATTTGCAGAAGAGCAGTCTATAGGCAAACAATCTTTAATGCAGGGTTATCCCAGTTAAGTACAGTGAAGATGGACTTATTATAGTCAGAGTAAATATATGGTTCTTAGAAAAAGTTATTGTTTTCGGTGGGTTCTCCTTTTTGTTACGTTCAGTAAGGAGAAAAACAGACATGAACATTTGGGGGATAATTTATAGGATCTTTTACACTTAAACATATATTCAATTACTTAGGTTTACAATGAGGGTAAAAAAAGAAAATACAAACACATGTATTCACACATATATACAGTGACCCTTAAATAACATGAAGGTTAGGGGTACTGACTGCCATGCCATTGCAATTATCTCATAACTTTTGACTCCTCCCAAACTTACCTATAGTGCCTGGTATTTGTTCCATGAAGTCCACAGATACCAAATCTGTGGATGCTCAAGGACCTGATGTGTTATAAATTCACACAGAACAATGCATACAGTTGGCCCTCTGCATCTATGGATTCCCAAGCATGAATTGGAAATACTGTTTTCCATCCACTGTTAGAAACCTGGGCACACGAAGGGCCAACTGTATATTAATTGAAAAGAAGTCTGTGTATAAGTGGACTCATGCAGTTCAAACCCATCTTAGAATTTAAGCACGTACACACACATAAGTTTACTTTCTAAAGTCTTATTTTGATGTAGGAAATTTGTTCTTGAATGAAGAATAAGGAGAAAGTGTTTAGTTAAATGGCATAGAAAAAGGGATGAATGAAAAAAAAAGGAATATGATGATGCTATAACATTACGATTGTCTTCTATCATATTTTGATTTTGCAGATTTGGCCTCTGAGTGATTTTGGGCTTCTGCATGATAGCCCTAATGGCCACAGATGTTCTGATGATTAGCAAGCATTTAGTCTTTTCATTTGATTGCCTTCTGTTCAAGTGAATTTATTATTGCCACTGAAACCATGTACTTACTAATAAACTACTTGCTACTCAGTTTGTTATTTTTATTGTCAAATGAAAGAATAAGTAACACACAATTTGTACACTATATTAATTCAAATTAGATGAATAAAAGTAAGCCAAAATAAATCATCTAAATTTTATGATAGATGTAAAAATATTTTTAGGGAGAAACCTGGATGACAACCTCATTTTTGAATTTTTAGTATTATAGGTATAATGAAAAGTAATCTCCTTATGAATATGCTCTATACTTTAGCTACACTTATACGTTAGAGTAGGAAACTAGTCTTCTAAGTCCAAACCAACAATAAATACAAAGAGTTCAACCTAATAAAAAGCTGTTAAGTCACAAGTTTTGCTCACTCATTTGAAATAAAGAAAGTTTCAGCAAGCCCAGAAAGGATTCCTTTTTAAATCAGTTTTAAGTGAGTTCTGACTTATACTATACATAGACTATTAAATGTGTAGAAAAATATAATCTTCAGAGTCCACCGTAATCAATAATGAATAATACATTATAAAAATCCATCTCATTATAGTAGTAATGCAATAGTCCCTAATCTCCAAATATAGGTATTGATACCATATCTTTGTACCCTGAAATAAGAAGGAAAGTAATATACCTGTGTCAGATCTAAAGCTACCACTTCCTAAATAATATTTAAAGTTGAAGATGGCAGTGTTGTAGAAGCTCACCCCCTTTAATGTAGCCACGTGAAGAATTTGAAAACACAGTGCCAGGGCTGAAGTCAAGTCTTCTGACTCCAAAGCTACCCTCCCTTCTACAGTTTTTACTCTGCTTTCTTTGTTCACTTTGTAATCACCTTATGAATGTCCATATTCAGGCTTCACAATGGGAGAAGCAGGCTCACATGCTATGCACAATGATTCTAATTTAACTCTAATGACCTGAAATTTTGAGACAGTTTGTACAATAGGCCTATAACTTTGACAGCTAGAAATATCATGTTACCTCAGAAACATAAAGTAACCATAAAGGCATATGATGATATTGTGATCCATTAAAAGAGAAGACATGCTTCTTTAAATAAACAAAGCAATAATAAACTTCTCAAATAGGAATTTGCTAAATAGAATTTATAATTCAAATCCCTTTTTGTGGTCTGTAAATATAAATTATAAATACATATAAAGAGCTAAATTAATTTTTTTGCTATTCTGGGATAGACTTTGCATATTATCTTTGCAAATAATAAAGCTGACAAATAAAAAAAGAGGAATCTTTTCTTGGTCAGCTTAATACTGTTGCTTGAATGGAATGGCCTCTCTTCTACATTCCTGAATATACAGTTAAAGAAGTGCACTTAGTGAACAATTTCAGCTACGATGAAGCAGTTCTGTAACTAGTGAACAAATATCATAAGAAATTAGGGTAACTTCTTCTGCTTCACCTTTGGAAACACTCTATTGTCCACCATAACAGCAACTCAGAGAAAAAGAGTGATCATCTTTGTTCCAAGATATTTCTTCAAGGTATACTAGAGTATCTCCTGGTCTCATATTTCTTAGATCACCTTCATGCTGCTGCAGACCATACTCTTTTTTTGTCTCTTCATTCCCTAGAATTTTCCATGCCATTTCAATTTCAATGAACTTCTGTATACATTTCTCCGCTGTTCCTGCTGGCATATCTTCATTTTGTTTATCTGGATGATACATTAATATGAGTTTTTGATACTTTTGTTTTAGGTCTGACATACTTGCAGATGGGTATGCACCCAGAGTGCTGTACCAACCCTTTTTTCGTATCCGCTCAAATGCCTGCATCCATTGAACAAGAAGTGGGCCTTCTCAGATCAGCAAACTTCTTAGAGGCTTGGGGATGGACTCCTTACAAGTGGTCAGCATGTGATTTTTTTACATAGTCTCAGCAAATAATACATAATAGATTATAGAAAAAATGAATTTTTACAGATGCAAAGGCTTTAGAAATCATGGTTTCTTTTTTTTTTTTACTGTAGTTAAGAAAATGGAAGTCCATAGCCAATAAGTAGTTCTCTCAAGATCAGAAAGTTAATGGAAAACCTGACACTAGAGCCAAGATTTCATGATATTCTTTGTATAGGGGGAAAGAAAGAATTTGGACTTTTTGCTTTAGAGGAGATGACATCTTTTTTTTTCTAAAATGAGACCACATAGATCAAAACGGGTTAAATATGGATAGTAAAACAATAGCTAATTGTGCTAAGTTATATTCTGGGAGGAGCACCTTTCAAAATAGGATGAAATATCCAAGATATTTACTGAGGCTAATACCAACAAAAAATATAGAAAAAGAAAAGAAGAAGGAAAGGAGGGTATTTACATCTCAGTGCAGGTCAGACCCATTTAGGATAGAGGGCAGGAAGAAAGGTTAGGTAGGAAGAGCCTGAAACTGCAGTACAGCTCTAAGAAATTTTCACCTGGGCTGTTGGAGAGTACTTGAGCCAAACTCCTCCATTAAAGGGGCCCCATGTTTCACGGGAATGACCTTCATTGATATCTTGGTGTGTTTTGTCATTGGAGCAGCTGTCTGGAAGCTTGACTTTGGTGCGAACTTAGTGGATCCTGAAAGCAGCGGAAGGGCTGTCAGTCAGTTGCACATTCTGTGGGAGTAAACCTGGGTGGTACATTTGCATGGCTATCACACTGATTGGGAACTTACTATGTACTAGGTGCTGTAATTAAATATTTATATTCATTTTATTATTAGAAAAATTCTATAGAATGGATGTTACTATTTCCATTTTACAAATGAAAAAATTGAGACTGACACAAAGTTAATACTTCATGCAAGATGACATATTTGGTAAATGATAGAATTACTATTGAAAAGTACGTAGTTCAACACATGTAATTACACCCTTATACCACACTGTCCTCTTTACTATGGTTATGAAATTATGCATAAATAATGGGACTCCAATGTTTAGTGTTCCATATCTATCAGTATTAACCCACACCCAGTTATTTAGAGAACAACAAATATACTATACCTAGTAGTTAAGAGTTTCCCAGCTTATATGAAATTTGATGACCAGAATTAAATGCAAGGGAGCCTACAAAACTGTCTTAGTGTGTTAGATTCTATGTTTCCATATGAGAGAAGAAGAAAATCCTGCTTCCTCATAGATTGGAAGCCTCTATTGTCATCTACATGTAACCTATATGTAGCTGTGAGTATTCCCAGATAAAATAATTACATGGTTTGAGATTATAGTGAGAATGTTCATCCATTTTCTTCCATCTATTTCTCTCTCTTCTGCCCTACTATATATTTAGTCAGTTAAAAGATGAGTACTAAAATTGATTCTAAAATATATTTCATGTTCAAATTCAAGTAGTATTTTATAGAAAACTTCCTGAGGAAATACAGACACATAAAGAACAGTTTAGAAAATGAAAAGATCATGGAATAAACCAAATGAAAAAAACAAAGAAACAAACAACTACAAATAACAAATTTTCAAAATCTGCATGACCACTCAGGCCATTGTAATATCAAGTGATCTATAAAGTATAATGAAAAATTTATGGGCGATTTGTTTCAAATTTTGTACAGAAGTGAAGGAAGGTTTGCAAACGTGTAAAAAAACAACTAGAATAAATGGGAGACATCTGTAATAGTGTCAAGAATAAAAATAAAATACATTTTTAAAAAAGCAACTAGAATAAAGTAGCTCAGGCATTAAAAATAGTGGTCCTAACACCAAACCATTTCAGAAGTCACAAGTTTGGGGCTGTGTAAGGAAGTGATTGCCAAGCAGAATTTGGTCCCTGAAATAGGAAGCTCTATAAAACTACAAGGTGGAGTGATGTAAGGAAGACAAATGGAATAAAATAAAAGGAAGGGATTTTTTTTTTTTTTTTACTGTTCGAATACATTTGTCTCCATTTTCCCACCACCCTTTTCCCCTGCCCCCTCCCCCACCTAGATTTTTTTTATCAATATGTGAAATTAAAGATATTTATTAAACATATTGTATATTTGACAGCCTGTGGGATTTTATAGATATTTATTTTTCCTGCTGACAGCTGGTCAATTATTTTTTTAATTTTAGTTTTCTATTACAGTTTACCTTCAGTATTATTTTATATTAGTTTCAGGTGTAAAGCACAGTTGTTAGACATTTATATAATTTACAATGTGATCCTCTGGATAATTCATATACGCACCTGAAACCATATATTGTTATTACAATATGATTGTTTGTATTCCCTATGCTGAACTTTACATCCCTCTGGCTATTTTGTAACTACCCATTTGTACTTCTTAATCCCTTTAACTTTTTTGCCAAGTCACCCAACCACTCCGTCCTCTAGTGCCATCAGCATGTTCTCTGTATCTTTTAGTCTGTTTCTGTTTTGTTTATTTTGTTCTTCATTTTTTTAAAGATTTTATTTATTTTATTTTTAGACAGAGGGGAAGAGAAGGAGAAAGAGGGAGAGACACATCAATGCGTGGTTGCCACTTGTGTGCCCCCTACTGGGGACCTGGCCCGCAACCCAGGCATGTGCCCCAACTGGGAAACGAACAAGTGACCCTTTGGTTTGCAGGCTGGCGCTCAATCCACTGAGCCACACCAGCCAGGGCTGTTTATTTTATTCTTTAGATACCACATACAGGTGAAATGATATGGTATTTGTCTTTCTTATTTCTTATTTGTGTGACTTATTTCACTTAGCATAATACCCTCTAGGTTCATCCGTATGGTCACAAATGGTAAGATTTCATTTTTTAACGAATGAATAATATTCCACTGTGTAAATGTACCACAGCTTTTTTATCCATACCTCTTCTATAGGTACTTGGGTTGCTTCCATATCTTGGCTATTGAAAATAATGCTGCAATAAATATAGAAGCGCATATATCCTTTTGAATTAGTGTTTTGGGTTTCTTTGGGTATTTATCCAGAAATGGAATTGCTGGATCATAGGCAGTTCCACTGTTAATTTTTTGAGGAACCTCCATACTGTTTTCCATAGTGGCTGATCCAATGTACTTTCCGACCAACAGTGCGTGAGCATTCCCTTTCCTCTGCATCCTGACAACACTTGTTGTTTGTTGATTTATTGATAGTCATTCTGATAGGTGTGAGGTGATGGATCATTGTGGTTTAATTTGTATTTCTCTGACGATTAGTAATGTTGGACATTTTTTCATAAGTCTACTAGCCGTACATATGTTCTCTTTGGAGAAGTGTCTATTCAGGTCCTCTGCCCATTTTTTAATTGGATTTTTTGGGGGGTTGAGTTGTATGGGCTTTTTAAATTTTAGATATTAACCTCCTATTGAATGTGTTACTGACAAATATGTTCTCCCATTTAGTAGGTTGTCTTTTTGTTTTGTTGATGGTTTTCTCTGTGCAAAAACTTTTTTAGTTTGATATAGTCCCATTTGTTTATTATTTTTTCTGTGTCCAAGGAGCTATGTCAGAAAATATATTGCTAAGAGAAATATCACAGAGTTTACTGCCTATGTTTTCTTCTAGGAGTTTTATGGTTTCAAAAGTCTTACACTTATGTCTTGAATGCATTTTGAGTTTATTTTTGTTTATGGTGTAAGAGGATGGTCTAGTCTTCATATTTTTTGCATGTTTGTGTCCAGTTTTCCCATCATCATTTATTGAAGAGACTGTGTTTACCCCAGTGAATGGTCTTGCCTCCTTTGTCATAGATTAATTGGCTCTAGAGGTATGGATTTATTTCTGGGCTTTCTATCCCATTCCATTGATCTATGGATCTTTTCTATGCCATTACCATGCTCCTTTGATTACTAGAGCTTTGTAGTATGGTTTGATATTAGCTAGTGTACTACTTCCAAATCTGTTCTTTTTTCTCAAGATTGCTTTGGCATTGCATGTTTTTTGTGGTTCCATAAAAATTTTTGAATGATCTATTCTAGTTTTGTGAAAAACACCATTGGTATTTTGATAAGAATTGCACTGAATCTATACGTTGCTTTGGGTAGTACAGACGTTTTAATGATGTTAATTCTTATTCATGAACATAGTGTATGCTTTCATTTACTTGTATCTTCAGTTTTTTTCTACAATGTGTTATAATTTTCTGAGTGTAGGTCTTTTACCTCCTTGGTTAAATTTTTTCCTATTTTTTTAATGCAATTTTAAATGGAATTGTTTTCTTAGTTTCTCTTCCTGGTAGTTCATTATTGGTATATAAACATGCAACCAGTTTCTGAATATTAATTTTGTGTCCTGCTACTTTACTGAATTCATTTATCACTTCTAGTAGATTTTTTGTGTGTGTGGAATTTTCAAGACTATCTTGATATAGTATTATGCTATCTGCAACTAATAACAGTTCTATTTCTACCTTTCCAAGTTGGATACCTTTTATTTCTTTTTGTTTGATTGCTGTGGCTAGGACTTTCAATACTATGTTGAGTAAGTTAGTGAAAGCAGACATCCCTGTCTTGTTTCTCATTTTGAGGAAAATGTCTTTACCTTTTCCCACGTGAGTCAACTATTAGTTGTGGGTTAGTCACATATGGCCTTTATTGTTTTGCAGTATTTTTTCTCTATTTCCACTTTGCTGAGTATTTTCATCATAAGTGGGTGCTGAATTTTGTAAAATGCTTTTTCTGAATCTATTGATGTAATCATATGTTTTTATTCTTCATTTTGTTTATGTGGTATATCATGTTTTGATCTGCAGATATTAAACCAAGCTTACATTACAGAAATAAATCTCAGTTGATTATGGTATATGACCTTTTTAATGTATTGCTGAAATCAGTTTGTTAATATTTTGTTGAAAATTGTTG